AAAAAAAAAAAAAAAAGAACTACCAGATAAGTCTTCAAAGTGGCTGTACCTTTTACATACTTACCAGTAGTCTATTAGGGTTCCAGTTTCTCCCCTGTCCTTGTCATCTCTTGCTATTGTCTGTCTTTCAGATTATAGCTATCTAAGTGGGTATGAAGTCGTGTCTCTGTGGTTTTGATTTTCATTTTCTTAAAAGCTAATCATGTTGAGCAACTTTTTTTGTGTTTGTTTATTGATCATTTTCTTATCTGTTTTGGAAAAATGTCATTTCAGATCCTTTGCCCATTTTTTAACTTGGGTTGTGGTCTTTTTTATTAGACCATAAGAATTATTTATAGATTGTGAATACTTTTTTTAAAAAATCAGATATGTGATTTTCATAATTATTTCTTCCAGTCTATGGATTTTCTTTTCACTCTATTGATGATAGCCTTTGAAGCACAAAGATTTTAAATTTTGATAGCATTAAATTTCTCTCTGTTTTTCTTTTGTCACTTATACTTTTGTTGTTATAGCTAAGAATATTTGGCTTAAACTAAGGTCATGAAGATTTAATCCTATATTTTCTTCAAAGGGTTTGCTTTAGCTTTTATATTTAGGTGTCTGAGTTAATTTTTGAGATGGCATTAGTGAAGGGATCACATTTATTCTTTGGCATGTGAATATGTAGTTGTTGACCCACAAGTTTTGATATGCAATATTTTCATTGCTATTCAATTCTAAGTACTTTGTCATCTCTTTTATGACTATCTTTGATACATAAGTTGTCTAGATTTGGGATTTTTTTCCTTTTCCAACCTATTTGTAATTGTTTTCAGTTAATATTTTTGTAATTGATTTCTCATATAACTGTATTGTTCTCATAGATTATGGTACATATGGTACTAATTCTTTGAGATTTGAAGAGGTTAACCTGTGGTCCAAATATAATGCGGGACTGTAAAAAATGAATATTCACCAGTTGGGTATAATGCTATATCTCTTAGGTAAAGCTTGATAAATTAGATCTCTAAGTCATCTATATCCTTAATGATTTTGTTGAATATACCTTATGTCAATTACTTGATTGAAATGTGGATTTTAAAATCTACCATGATGGTGGAATTCTCTGTTTTTCTCCTTTTGGTTCTGTTTCTTTTTTAATATTCTAATTTTTATTATGGAAAGTTTAAGCATACACAAAAGGAAAGAAAATAGTGTAATCAATTCCTATCACACACCCATCTTGAACCATTTTACTTATATATAGCCCACCTTATTTCATACATTCTATCTCCACTTTTAAGCTTTACCTCCCCAGATTATAAGAAAGTAAAACTTGTATATAACTTACTGTTTTATATACTTAATGTTCAGATTTACTCACATATCTACCACGGTATTTGCCCACCATTTCTTTTTGCATCTAGCCTATCTATAAACATTTTCCTTCTGCCTGAAATCTATATATTATATATTCTATATATTATATCATTTAGTGAAAGTCCTTTAGTGATACATTTTCTCAGTTTTATTTGTTTGAAAATGTTTTTGTCTTGTGCACTTTCTGGAAAATAGTGCAGAACTCAAGTTGACAGTTATTTTTCTCTGAGCTTCTTGAAGATGATATTCCAGTATCTTTTGGCTCCCATTGTTGCTGATGAGAAATGAACAGGAAGTCTAATTTCTGTTTCTTTGTGGATTATCCCATTGGGTGCTTTAAAAACTATCCCTTTTTCTTTGGTAACCTGCAGTTTCACACGATATGACAAAAGTACATCATAAATAATTGAGTGATAGCAATTTCAAGTTATTTGCTTTAAATTTCTTAACATTTTACTTCTAAACAGTGATTAGTGTTCTGCAAACAGCAAAGTACATAGGGAATACTTGCTATTTAAAAACACCCAAAAAAAAATAAATAAAAATAAAATAAAATAAAAACACCCTATGGTAAATCTTTCTGGAGAACACAGTTCATAATTTGTCTGCTTTATTACTTTCTTCTCAAGATCTTGTGTAACTTGATGTAAACAGGCACAGTATACTTTATCTTTCTACAGCACTATTGGAAATCATTATGAAAAATGGAAGCACAGCTGGAAGTAGCCCTCATTGCCGAAAGCCATCAGGTAGTGGTGATCAAAGCAAGCCTAATTGCACAAAGGACAGCACATCTGGTAGTGGTGAAGGTGAAAAAGGCTATACCAAAGACCAAGTAGATGGAGTTCTCAGGTAGGAACAAATGATTTATCTCTCAGTCATAATTGATATTAATGTACGATTTGGATGTTATAATACCTAAAAGAAGTGTTTGAAATATAACTTATTGGAAGAACAGACATTGAGGAATTGAACTCTGGATGTGTCTTATGCTTCATATTCTTTGAAAAATCAGTCTGTGAAGAACCAATTCTATGGAAGATTCTACTTTTTAAAGTAACTTTAAGTTACAAGGCTTCCCCCAAGTAATTTTTTTAAAGAAAAATTATTTTGAGTTTTTTGACACAGTACATTGTTTAGTGATATTGAAAGGATGAAAAATTAATTTGTCTTCTATATAGATGAAAGTGGGAGAATTTCCTATGCGAGAAATATCGAGTGTAATAGCAACAGCATTTTCAGTTTCCTACTTATATGAAGGATAGTTTTAATAGTTCTATTCTTTTTAAGGCTATCTTTGTTATATGCAGATACTATAATGTCCTCTCCTTTTAATATTTTTCTTCGTTTAATTATTGTCTCTGTGTTTTAGTTTTACCTTATGATACACTTCTACTTAAAGCAGAAGAATTAGATAGTGTTGAAAAATTATGAATTAGGTTTTGAGTATCTGACTTTATTAATTTTATAACTAAGAAAAGGTTTTTCTGGGAATAAAATGAAACTTTTAGTTTGAAACACTAGAGAAAAGATTGTTTTGTTTGCTGCTAAAGCTTAAGAAAGCTGTACTGATGTACCAAGGTTACTCTGAGGAAGCTCAAGTTTAAGGATGAAGGATTTTGACTAGTGATTATGATGATTTGCATGGAGAGTGAATTATAGTCTAGTGAACAAACACAAATGAAGAATAGCTAAAACTAGTTAGGAAGTCTCTCATTCGTCCTTTCTTGTCTGTATCTCTTTTAATCTTTTTTCATCCTATTTTTACTTTATTTTCATTTTTTTTACTTACCATAATTTTTCACTGAAATATATTTTGAAATACAGATTGTATTTATTAAGAAAAATGATTTATCACCACATCTTATTGTTTAATCAAATGCCAATATAGTTATATTTTACATTTTTCCCTACATATTTAAATGATAAAGCTTGATTGTAACATTTTATTTGCATGTGATCAAAATGAGAACAAAAGATTCCCTAATCATGGGAAACATGATAAAAGGTTATTTGATTAGCATGAATGGTAGTGAAGCACTTTGAGAATATAAACAATGCTGCTAACCACTTTTATAACTCTTGTACTATGTTAAATGTAGCTGAATAAGTGAGATAAGCAAGAGACTCACTTTTGAATTTCTTTCAGAAAAAAAAACTTTAAGCAAGCAATGTGCTAAAACACATTCCTGGAAAGTACATCCTAAAACAAACTGTATTTTCTTGTAGGGATCACTTTATGTTGGGAGAAAATATTCTCAGTAAAAGATTCAGCGTAGTTAATTGTATTATACTTTTTTTTTTAAAGAATATACAATTACCTATATATTTGTGAGTTCACCAAAAAACTGTAGTTGAAAGTTTCAGAAAATAGGAATCTCCTAAATCTGATGTTATTTTAAAAAAATCTTTATTTCTTCATTTCTGAACCCTATCCTTGAAAGAAGAGTATCTCAACGTGTGGTAGAAATAAAGAAGGAAGAGAAATGACATCTCTGTTGTAGTACTGATTTTATATATATGTGTTGGGAAAGGGGGGAGATGTATGAGTAGATGTGTATATATGGTTCTCCAAATCCTAGGGTACTTGGCATGCGGCAGGGGGACAAATTGGCAATAGAAGAATGAAAGATGATGGTGAAAGTACATACATGTTGTATTTGGTCAGAGTTGGATAAATGGAGACATAAAATGTTGAGGGAGTTTTTGTCTTTTGTCTTCTATTTTCTCTTAAAATTGGAGATGAGGTTGTCTTCAGAGAGTTAAAAGAGAAGAGATGAGATTGAAAGCTTGAAGAGAGTGGCCAAAGTATGGAATATTTGCAGAGGAAAAAAGCAAAGGGAATGGAGAAATTGCTGATTTAGCATTGAGGACCCAGTCACATTTGAGACCATGAATTCTTTGTGAGTAGAAGAATTAGCTTGGTAGCATACCTGTATTAGAGATTGATCCTCTGGTCAATAATTTTATTATACCGTTTTTATTAAATAAATGTAATATTTTTCTTTAGGAGACTAAGTGTGATTGGACCATTTTTTCACAGAATCCCTAAGTTATTCAAAATACTTGTCAGTACCTTATGTAAGAGTTGCTTAGCTGAATCATGCAACAAGCGTTATATTAGCCTTCATAAGTGTTGCTTTAGTGAGGGAATAGATCACCAGCAAACACTTACATGATGTGTTTTTGTTTTTTTCTTTGACCTATACACAGGGGATTTTTCTGAAGAAAGCTATATTATTTTATTGGTTAGCATGGTTTTGCAAGCAAGTTGCTCAGTGACAATTTGGCTCAATGGGGAGAAGCCATGCAATAATACTGCATCCATTGCATAAGGAAAAGCTAGCTTACAGCAAGACTGAAGAAAAAGTGGAACTTTGTAAACCAGTCTTCTGTGAAACTTGGCACTCCTTGTTGACTTTGAGTGGAAGTATATTGAAAAATAATTGAGAAAAAGTTGTCATGGATTGTATTTGAAGATGTTTTTAATATATCATTAAAAAGAGCATTTTATATTTAAAAAATTTATAAGATCAGCATGAAGTCATTAACTGAGGTATCGTTATACTTATTAATTAGGAATATTTCTGTGCAACTATTAAATCATTTAAATTGTGAGAATTTTAATTTAACATTTGATTTGAGCTCCAGTTCTTCAAATGAGAAGAAAATAAATCATTTTGTTAAACTTATAAATAATCCTTTGTTTTAGGAATAAATAAATATTTCCCTAAACAGCAATTAATTTGGAGTCTATTTAAATAATTAGCGGTTGCACATGAAAAAAAGAGAATTGAAAGGTAACCCTCCTCTCCCACCCACTATGCTTTCATGTTCATAAAGAAGATATAAAGACTGAACCCGACATACTTTTCCTCTTGTTGAGCTCCAGAAAGATCCTTTTGGCCTTGTTGTACATTATTTCCTTCTAAGATAGGCAATGTGTTAACCCTTTCTAATTTCTCTTTTAAATTCTTTGGTGAGGCTGGAGAAGGTTGACTCAGAAAGCATCAGACTGTTAAAAGTGTGACATACACATGTTGCCAGTGAAAAGGCACCTGATGAACAACAATATGAATGAAAGTAGATATATGAATGGTAATTTCTCATTCATGTATGACAAATTAGGTGAATGAGTATATTTGTAGCATTTCAATGGACTCAGCCTGTCCATTGGCGATGATGATTTTATAACTGCTGGCTTCTCAAGAATTTCTCCTTTGTTATTATCATGACAAATTTAGTGCAGGGAAGATATGGTAGAGCTGGATACAGCTAGGGATTGATGAAATAATTGTTTTTCCTGTCTATCCTTGTTTTTCTCTGTGGCAGTTCTTAGCTTTATGACCTATATCTAGAGAATTGCAAATTCTAGCCTAGTTTCCCAGTGCTATACAGCAACCCTCTCCTGGGTTGCCTTTTTCTATTGCCCGGCATTTTGTGCTTAGGAACTATCAACCAAACAATTTAGAAGGTTAATCTGGAACATAAATAAACATCTTATCCATCCTACCAAATAGTAATGGCTTTAAGATTTTTTAGTGTTTAATGTATTACTACCTTTTTTTTTCTGCATTTAGGTAGTGTCTGCTGTATTCTTAGCCCTCTTCTTTATCTTACAGTATGTTTTACTTTTGTTAATTATTTCTCTTCTATTCCAAATTGATTTTTGGTACCAAATGCATTTTCATTACAGCATTCATCACCTTTGATCTGAACATAACTTTTTAGATCCCCACCATTTCTGCCTTCAAATTGAAACAGTTGTCCATCTGTCTGTTTATTCATCTGTTCACGTATGGTGAACAAGTCAGAATTTAACTGCCTTCAAAGAGCCTGTAGTCTAGAAGAGTAGTCAGACAAGTAAACAGGCAACGTAGTACACTGTGGTAATTGTTGGATAAGGCCAAGTTCAGAGAGGGGGCACACATAAGAGGAGCATCAAACCTAGGCCTGAGAAACTTGGATTCTTGGAAAAGGAAGAGTAAGCTGAGGTCTGAAGAAGTCGTAGAAACTAGCTAAGCAAGAAGAGAGGAAGTGTTCTGAGCATCAAAAACATTTGTAGATATCTGGGAGGAAAGAAAGTCTGCCTAAATATGATTGAAAGAAAGATTTAGAAAGGAATATGATAGACCACATCTGACAGGAATCCTTTTCTTTTTTTTCTGGTTCTGAGTCAGCAGGATTGTCAAGTTGGACATACTGAGGTTTGAATCCTAACTTGTAAGGGCCTCATTTTTTACCCTGTTTTAAAATATTAATAGCAGGTCTGCCCTTTTGTTCTCTATTTTTTTGCTACTTTATTTTTCTTCAGATGTTTATCACTATATGGTGTACTTTATATTTGTTTATTGCTTGTCTCTCTCCCAGTTGTAAATTTAATGTGATTTGACTGTTTTATTTACTGCTGTAGCATCTGAAGTTGTGCCTAACAGAAAGTATATGGCTAGTAAATTTTTGTTGAGGAAATAAATCCCTATTCCCATCTATTACTTGGTTATGTGATTTTAGGCAGTTTATTTAACTACTCAAAGCTTTGGTTTCCTTATTGGGTAATATAGGAATAACATCTATCCAATGAAGAGTGAGATAATTTGTGTAAATTAATCAGCATAATAAAATTCTACAGTTCTTTATGTGAAATCTTTGGGACCAGATGTAGTGTGGAATTTAGAATTCTTCATATTCTAGAAAGCTAATAAAGGGAATATGGTTGGCCCTTCATACCGGGTTCTGTGTCTGCAGATTCAGCCAACCGTAAATTGAAAATATTTGGGGGGAAAAGTGCAACAATAAAAAATAATGCAAATAAAAAACAGCAACTATTTACATAGCATCTACATTGTGTTAGATATTGTTAATAATCTAGAGATGATGTAAAGTATAAAAGAGGATGTATGAAGTTTATATATGAGTACTGTACCATTTTATATGAGGGACTTGAACATCTGCAGATTTTGGTGTCCAAGATGAGTCCTGGAACCAATCCCCTGTGAATGCTAAGGGATGTCTGTGTATTATATATTATGTTCATTTTAGGGTCTGGGGCAGCAGTCTATAACCAAATAGTAACACTTCTGCTGGAAAACATACAAGTATTTACACTTATATGGGGTAAATGAAGATTCTGTAGTAGATTCACGATTGTTCGGTCAGATTTTGCCTCTAAAAGAGTTCGGGTCAGGTTTTTTGCAATTAAATTTGTTATAGGATAACTTACATTTTCCAGAGCTTTATGGATATTGGAACACGAATATGAGATTCTGGTCCTCTATCTGACACACAGTAGGTGTTTCATAAATGCCGTGTTCTTTCTTTTCCTACACATAGTTTCTACACATATGTGGGAGAGAGAATGATTCTCTACAAAGGTGGGAATTGTTCTCTGTTGTGTTTACTGATATATCTCAAGTGCCTACAACACTGTGTGAGCATAGTTGATGTTCAGTAAATATTATTGACTAATTAATGGAAATGTCATGTTTTTAAAAATAAAACTGACTTTTGTTAGTGTTTTGTTAAAGTATCTAAAGTACGGAAATCCAGTTTTAAGTATTACTATCAAAAAGACTATATAACAGATTTTTATTGCATGATTATAAGAAAATTTACATAAATTTGTATTACCTTTTATTACCTTCTCTTCCCACCTCCCTTTTCATATAACAAACAATGAATGCTTTCATTATATAAAAAAAAACTTAGGCTCATTTACTTCAGAAATATTTATTGAGAACCTATCATGTGCCAAACAGTATGAAAACTAATAGGTTTAATAGTAAACAAACCAAAAAAATTCTTTTATTTGAAAAGTTTCAGTCTTTGCAGTTCTTTTGCTGACAGTGACTACGCCTTTGATCACTTTACCTGATGCTTCCTCTGTCATCAAACCATCTGCACATGAAACATACCTAAAGTTTCAAAGTACTCTCCAGAAATTTTGAAATTTACCGTGGCTTTTGTGAAAGGAAATTACTAGGTTGTGGAACCTAGTTGGCATCCGCAAATACTTATGTTCTCTGCTCCATTCAGAGTATTTCTTGTCCATTCCTAATATACTTTAAAGACTCCAGGCTTAAATCTGTTCCATCTTTAAGGTACAGACTAAGGAATATGCTCATCACAATGGAAATCAGGTGCAAGAAAAATTTTTGAGTCCCACGTTATGTTTTATTATGAGATTTTATCTTTTTCAGAGAGTGATAAAGATAAATTCTCTGTAGCATTACTGGGCTAACTAACTTTGACATTTAAACCACAGGAAACTACACTTTTACTTGTTCTAAACTGTTGCTTTGTTACTTGTTTACATCTATATTATGCAAAAACAGAATTTTTGAAATGTAATGCATATTCATTTTTAACTGTCACACACTTTTGAGGAGTTTCGGAATTTGATAGTATTAAAAATGGTTCTTATCTTCTCTTTTAAGTTACAGTGTATGCTCTGTCCTTTATTCACAATTATTATGGGCTTTGCTTTACTTCTCTGTGGTTCTTATAAATTGCACTAAGGACATTCTCATGGTTTACTCTTCTTAGACTTGGGAAGAGGCTGGAGGAATGGTCTGTGGTCGAAAAAGAGAATGAAGAAAATGAACCCTTAAAGGGATAAGCCATCATTAGATTTTGAGAAAACAATCTACAGATAAAAGATCTTTATATTATTCTAATAAATTAAAAATTAGAGCTATTACATCACCTTCTTCTTTGAAATTTATATTATAACATACTCTCTTGTTCACAGCATAAACAAATGTAAAAATTACTATGAAGTACTTGGAGTTACGAAAGATGCTGGTGATGAAGATTTGAAAAAAGCATATAGAAAGCTTGCTTTGAAGTTTCATCCAGACAAAAATCATGCACCTGGAGCCACAGATGCTTTTAAAAGTAAAGTAAACCTTTTAATGCAATTTTACTAAGATCTTTTTAGAATTCACCTTACAATGTTTCAGAATATTAAATTCTACTTTTGGACTGGTGCATTTAGAGACCAGCACAAGCAAGGGTCCGCAAAATCTCTTAAAACTTCAGTATTAACTTGTTTTTTTGTTTTGTTTTGTTTTGTTTTTTGAGTTGGAGTCTCACTCTGTCTCCCATACTGGAGTGCAGTGTCTCGACCTGCTGGGCTCCGGCGATCTTTCCACCTCAGCCTTCCGAGTAGCCAGAATTACAGGCACGCGCTACCACGCCTGGCCAATTTTTTATTTATTGTAGAGATGAGGTCTTGCCAAGTTGCCCAGGCAGGTCTCGAACCCGCGGACACAGGCAGTCCACTCACCTCAGCCTCCCAAAGCGCAGGATTACAGGCTGAGCCACCGAGCCTGGCTCAGTATTTACTTGTTATACTCAGAGCCTCTCAGATGCATTTTGGCTGGACAAGAGCAACATTCCAGTTTTGCTGTAGTTCTAAATAACTTTTCTAGGTTCTCATGCATGCTTTTGTGTTTACCAGGAACAAGTAGGGTGATTATGGTGCATGCATTCTAGCATGTTGCCATCTGGTTCTACATGAACTAAAAGCAAAATATAATTTTTGTGAGTTTTTAAGGTACACGAGATTGTCCAGAATTAGGATATTAGAATATCTATGTCCCCAGTGTTCTTGTATTTCTATTAAACCTCGTCAATGTTTGCAATTTTTTATGTGGTTCTAACTAATGTGATTTTTTTTCTTTTTAAGGTTGATTTCTTTCTCTTGCCTCCTATTCATCTTTTCTTTGTTTTTCTTCTCAATATGCTTTTACATTTTTGCCAATTTAGTAAACAAATGTTGGTGAACTGATTTTGTAATTTCATGTTTTGTTAAATGCAATTTTATTGCAATAGAACTTCCAGTTCATAGTAAAATGCTTACATTTGTGATTGTTCATTCTTAGTGCATTTGTCATTCATAGAGCTAGTGTATAATGTTTACAATAAAATCCTGGGATCTTAGAATAACAATATCATTTTTAAATGTTTCAAAAAGATAGAAGACTCAATTGATCCTTCATAAAAATACTGTCAAGATTGTTTCCAGGCCAGGCATGGTGGCTCAAGCCTGTAATCCCAGCACTTTGGGAGGCCAAGGTGAGAGGATTGCTTGAACTCAAGGGTTCTAGACTAGCCTGGGCAACTTGGTAAGATCTCGTCTCTACAATAAATCAAAAAATAAGTCAGGGGTGGTAGCACACACCTGTAGTTTCAGCTTCTCGGAAGGCTGAAGCAGAAGGATCACCTGAGCCCAGCAGTCGAGGCAGTGGTAGCCGTGAGCATACACTACAGCCTAGCAACAGAGTGAGACTCTGACTTAAAATAATTTAAAAAAAAGATTGTTTCCAAAACTGTTTTATTTCTTGGAGGAAGTTGTCAAGGAAAATGCATTTGGGAATTAATAATATATTTCAATAAAAGCTGTTACCAAAGTGGTTCTGGCAAAAATAAAATACTATGTGACAGCCAGAGCTTTCTCAGTTACCTTATGAAAAAGTGGCATGTTGAAAGTACAGGAAAAGTTACTTTATTCAAAAACACCAACTTACAAATCACATTTCTGTCAGTTTATTACTTGAAGAATGTATTAAGAAAAGAGTGCCATTATTTTCTGTCCTTCAGGTACCTTATTAAACAAAAATCGTTTTCATTATTAAAAATAATACAGATAACAGCACTTAGGTTAATTTCTAATTCAATAGTATAGAAAGTTGGGAGATTTCCGATGAAATTTTTAAATAGAATATTTATTTAATTTGATTTATTGCTGGGCCTTATTTCTTTCTTTTCATTTTTTAGACAAGGTCTCACTCTGTTGCTCAGGCTGAAGTATAGTAGCTTGATCATAGCTCACTGCAGCCTTGACTTCCTGGACACAAGTGATCCTCCCTTCTCAGCCTTCCAAGTAGCTGGGACTATAGGCATGTGCCACCATGTCTGGCTAATGTTTTTATTTCTTGTAGAGATGAGGTTTCACTGTTGCCCACACTGGTCTCAAACTCCTGAACTCAAGCAATCCTCCCACCTCAGCCTTCCAAAGTGCTGGGATTATAGGTATGAGTTATCGCACCTGGCCTGGAGCCTAATTTCTAAAAGAATTTTAAACTTTTATAAATGTAAAATGCTTTTCATATATATAGACACAGAGTTATAAGAAAAAGCAACTGAAATCTTTAAATAGCTAATTTATTAGCACACATTCTCCCAAAAGTTAAAAAGCATTTCACATTATGAGTTAAAAACATGTAATTTAATTTTTTTTGTGTTTTAAAATATTTTGAGGCCCGGTATGATGGCTCATGTCTGTAATTCCAGCACTTTGAAAGACTGAAGGAGGATTGAGCTCAGGAGTTCAAAACCAATCTGGGCAAAATAGTAAGATGTTGTTGCTAAAAAAAAAAATAAAGAAAGAAATAGCCAGGCATGGTGATTTGTGCCTGTTGTTCTAGCTACTCCTGAGGGTGAGGTGGGAGGATCACCAAGGAGGTCAAGGCTGCAATTAGCTGAGATCATGCCACTGTGCTCTAGCTGGGTGACCTACTGAGACCCTGTCTCAAAAAATCTGTATATATATATATATTTCTGGCAGTGGATTATTTACATGTTTGTGACCTGCTAAGTGATTTCAGTATTAATTCTTTATTAATATTAAGAATGTTAAACTGCTTTTCCCACTGCTATATTGAGGTCATGTTAGCAATATTGGTTTTGGAATAACACTAAGTGTATGCACCTATATTTTTACAGCCTGAGTTGCATTTCGAAGAGGCGAGCAGCATAAATATTCCCCAGGGAAGCCAGCAAGACACTCATTGGGGTTTTACAAAGGTGGTTGTACTTCAGTGTGGTACATTTCAGAATTTAATACTTTGCTTAGCAAAACTAGAAACTTGATATCTATCAACATTCTGGGAAGTGACTCATTTCTAGGGGAGAGGCTCATATTGTTCAATACATACAAGGTTACCTGAAAATCAGAATGCCAGTTTTTAGGCCCAGAGAGGATTCAAATAGAAAATTGGTAGATAAGCCCATTTTTCATTGAATGGAAACTATATAGAATACCCAAGTTGTAATCCACAGATGCTTGGTAAGTAGTGGTAGTAAATTAGAAAATATTATAGCTAGTGTCATCACACAGAAATGGTAGATTTCATTCATTTACACAGTATCTTTGCATTACCTTCTGAATCATCTTATTTTATTTTTAACCAGTTGATTTTTTTAAATACTATGCTGTTTATCTCTAAGCAAAGATAATACTTTTTGTCTTTTTTGTAACTTTTTAGATTGATTGCTCTATAATTACAGAACTACTTTTCTCCAGAAAGTGGAAACCACTTGCTTTTTATTTTCTCCAAGATTAGAAAAAGAAGAGGTAATTAGTTTAGGGAATTAAATTAAATAGAAGAGTTGTTTTCATTTGTGTGTTTTGTAAAGCTTTAAAAATAACAGATTGCTCTCAAGGAGAGTGGACTAAAAAACTTACAAGTTCATGTGGCTGTTTCATCTTTCCAGTTAGGATTATAAGTTTTCCAAGCAGGGAATATTTTATTTACATGTAGAATGACTTGCACAGTGTATGTAAACATATTTTTAAAAAATATTTTAATGAAGTGAATTTCTTTCCTTTTCTCTGATGTAGATGTCTTCAAAACATACCCAGTCTACATTGTCTTCAAAGGTTCCAAAGTTTTTCAGAGACTCTTTGAATCGAACCTGTGCCTATTGACATATACATGAATGTAGTAACAGGGGCATGGACTAGCTGCTTATGTGTTTGTTTGAGAAATAATAGTGGATCAGATACTGTTCATTGTGTTAGGGCTGCTAGTTCAATGTTAACATTTAAGATGTATCTTTAAGAATAAAGAATTTTGATTCTACCATTTGGGCTATTTCTCATATAGAAATATAGTAAAAGAATATGAGATATCCTCCTCCTCAAAGAATTTATAATTCATAAAGGGGAGATAAATCTCACATGGAACTTTTGTGACTTAACTAGCACTTAACAAACATTTTATAGTTTTTCATTTCCACTTTTAAGTTTAATAGTTATTAAAAATGTCATGAAATAGTCAGGGGAACAGTGTCATCTTCATCTCACAAATAAGAAGATAGAGACTCAGGTGAACTTACCCAGGATCTCCCAATAGACCAACGAAAACATAGACTAAAAATGTCTGAAGAAAAATCAGAAAGATGAAGTACTATTGTTATCAGAATAATTGGAGAAGCCTTCATTTAGTACGTGAGAATTAAGAGTTTTCCCTAGAGATTAGTATGATTTCTATGGTTAGAGAAAAGAGGGAGTGGTAAAAGCTTGGCAGTGGGAATGAGACAGATGATTTAAAAATTAATGAGAACTACCACTTTCAGAAAGATAGGATAAATATACTTTTCCTATTTCCTCTTACTAAGTACAACTGAAAACCTTGAACATTATATATAAAATAAATAAAATAAACATAGAAACACTGAAAGGTAAAGAGAATGAGGTGGACACACTAGGAACCTCAAGACTCAAAAAACAACAGAGCAGTGAATTGATTTTTTTTCCCCCTTATATATCCCAGATTGGGTGCTGGAACAGCGTGCAGCCTGAAAACACCAATGGACCTAGACAAAAAAGCCCTGAGAAAAGCCTGCTTTCTCTAGACAAACAGTAGCCACTCTGCTGCAGCCAAATTCTACAAAAAAAATTGTGGCCCCATTCTGACCCACACTAACAAATGCTGAGTAGAGAGCCTGGACTACCACCATCTCAACCTTGTAGTAAAATGCTCTAAGCCCCCTGCTGGGTTGGTAATAGAGAAGGTTTGAGTAGGGAGCTTGGACTTTCATTTATGTTGGGTATTAAGGAAGGTTCCCCCTTCTCCCCTTTCCCCACAGTGTCAGTGGAAATCATGTAG